TCAATGGCAGGATGAGAAGATGGTGGTGGATGGAGTTTGTTCAGAATGGCTAAAGTTCTCTGCTTTGTGTTAATCCTTTTATTTTTTTCCCTTACTAGGCTCGCTGCAGCAGCAGCTTGGTAGTATTTGTTTGACAAATGCTAAGTCTAAGGGCTCCAGTATTCTATACTGCCTAGTAGACGAATCATTAGTCCATTTATCCCTACTAGGCCATCTTGTGTGGTTCTCCTTGTTTGGGATAGTTTTTGTTTGTGTTTGTTAGTTGTTCCTCTTACTGAGGTTAGTTTCTGTTGATTTCAGTTCTCTCAGCGCTGTAGACCTAGACATTTGTTCTCTTTTTATCCTAATGCAACATTCTTCGTTTCAGGAAAAAAAAAATGATAACATATAATTATATATATACACTCTTAACAAATTTTAAATAATTATAGCAAACCTCATTATCTTTTTTTTTCCCAAAATGAAAAATATTATTATAAATCAAAATACACAAATGTGTGAATACAAGCAGCCCGTAGCTGAACGGAACAACCAATAGCTGAAAAAGTGGGAGGACATGTCAGAAGACCGCCTAGAAACGCTAGAATAAAAAAATTTGCAACTAAACAAACCAACTACACGAAGACCTGACACAAACAAAAACTAAAATAACTAAAAAGATCTCAACAAAATAATACATATATATCGTACATTCTTTTGACTTTTTAATATTCCGATTGAACAATTTAGATTTTCAAAAATCTATCTAGTTAAATACGTCAAGATTTTAAAAATGTATATAAAAATTCCAAAATAAATAAAATTGTGAACTTAAAATGAAGTCGCATTCAAGACGATCTGAATTTTGAAAATAGACTTATAATAACTTTATTGGACCAAATTCCCCTCCCCCTATATATTAATACAGAATGCGCTGAGCCTACGTGGCTGCTTTTGGTGCTTCGGAATCCTATGTGGCAAAATTACATGCTTCGTTATTAGGCTTAGGTAAATTTTAATTTAATTCCAAACAAAAAATAATTAGGTTCGGATTACCATAAATATGTTAATTATTTATGGTCATGTTACATGTATTAATTATATTTTAATATCATTCCTTATTATAACTATTGAACTGTATATATATTTTAAAAGTTAATAACTTTTGTATTTTTTATCAGTTTTACATATGTAATATATCAAATTAATCTTCTTTTGATGAGCTTCGATTTAACATCCATATTGTATGTATAAAAAAATTTATATTTATCTTTATAACAATAATAAAAATATTTTTAATATTAATTAGGAAAATAAAATTATTTATCAACTAATATATTTATATTTCAAGTAGTTATATGATATAAGTTATAAAAATTAATATAATATAACACATGTATGTCATAAGTAACACATATCATTCTAAAAGATATAGTAATATATTTTTTTTTTTAGAAAAGTAAACTAAATTTAATATAGTTTTCTCATTAATTTTAAAATTTAAGAATAATTCTTTAATAAGCACCCGTGTAATACACAGGTGTTGTAATAGTGAGGTTAATATATGAAAAAATGAGTTAATGTCAGCAATCCTACGGGTTCATGAGCGTGGAGCTATAATATATTACCACCAATAATATCTAATCAAATCAAATGATGAATTTAACTAAAACAATAGTCAAAAAGAAAGAAATCTATTTTACCACAAGTCAACACAAAAATCTGATATTTCAGTTGGGCGTGGGAACATGCAAATCTTTTACTGCTGACGAAATTAACGGATGTAATTATTTTCTACCGTATTCAAGAATCTAATACTAAATATAGCAAAATGCTACGATACCGTTACAGTACTTTTCCGTCGGGTGTGTCGTTGAATCATCTATCTTATCTAACTACACGTGGATCCAACGGTTAAAACATGGATAGTAACTTAACGGTAGGGCTGCAAACGAGTCGAGCAGCTCGCGAGCGCTCGAGTCAAAGCACGGCTCGAGCTCGAGCCCATATTTTACCTTGTCGAGCGGCTTGCGAGCGGCTCGAGATATATGAAATTACTAAAATACCCTTGTATATATATATATATGTATTTAATGGTTATTTTACAAAATTGTTTGAAAAAATTCGAATCGAACTCGAGCCGAGCTCGAGCATTTTGAATTCGAGTCGAGCTCGAGTCGAGCTCGAGCTCTTGTATTTTTTTATCGAGTCGAGCTCGAGCATCATAAATCGAGCTCGACGAGCTCGAGCAGCAAAAAAAAAAAAAAATTCAATCCTGCTCGATAAGGCCAATACTCGACTCTGCTCGACTCGTTTGCAGCCCTACTTAACGGACCGTAGCATTTCCCCTAAATATAATGGACTAAAGGCTTTTATACATATATTGTAGGTATTATTATTATTATTATTATTATTATTATTATTATTATTATTTATTATATTATTATTGCACAATATAGTTTTACATCTTGTTCCAGATATCCATCTCACCAATTTGTGAGTCACATGAATAAATGATATTTATCTTTTTTTTTTTAATTTAACTAGGAAAAATTATCGTTACATTTTGCATGAATAAAATGTAATAACTTGAGTAATTATAAATTCAACCCAAAATTTTAAGAAAGTTATACACTTATAGAAAAAATTAAAGCAATATTGTTTTTTTTCAAGTTTATTTCAAAATTCATATTATGATTTTATTTTTATCTCATCAAGCGAATTTTGTAATATATATTTGATTGATTTTAAAGTAATAGCAAACCCCTTAAAATTGCATAAACTATTCCTATAATTACACTAATTTAGTATTTTTTTTTTCAACTAACTAATTGAGCGCGGTTTCTTAAGTTTGCAATTTTTTTTTTTTTTTAAAAAAAAAAACCTTATTCATCATATTTTATGAATTTTTAATAGTGATTCATATGTAAGTATAATAATTTTTAATTGTATTGTTCATTTGACTAACAATCAAATTTATGAAATATGATGCATATTATGATATTCATATATATGACATATATTAAAGATAAAATTCAATATTTTTAGTCAAAAATTCAAGAGAATAGTAAAAAGAAATTACTAATTATCAACTGAATTTTATCAAATCTAATTTAGATTCATTCTGGAAATGATGGCAAACTTTGAACCTTTTTTCAGATAATAAGCGTGTTGATAAAAATGTGTATATTATTAAAAAAAAAAAAATAGTGCCATCAACTATAAAATTAGAGAAATAAATGTATATATTATCAGGTGAAATGAAACAAACCAAGCATAAAATAATACAATATAATATATAAATGTTGTCTCTCTTAGGAGTGTTCACGGTCCGATTTTAACTGAAAAAAACCGTCAATCTGGACCGCAGATCGGTTAAATGGTCGGTTAAAAAAGCCTTAAAAAATCCGGTGGTTAATTTTTATAAAAATATGAAATAACCGGTCCTGTTAACGGATTACCTGCGGCAAGCCGCCGGTTTAACCGAACCGGATCGGTAAATTAAAAAACTATAACAAATATTTATATACATTCAGTCATTCACTATGGCCGATAAATACAATACATTCACTTTCACTTGTTGTTTTTTATTTCATTATTGTTGTTTTTCTTAATTTTTAGCCCAAATAATCTCTTTTGGGCCCAAATTGAAAAATAAAAATTAAGCCCAAAATAAAAAATAAATAAAAATTAAAGACAAAAAACAAAGTTTTTGAATTTAGCCGGTTAATCGTCAAATTGGACCGTCCAATGCGGTCTAGATTGTGGCAGGTAATAAAACGGTCCAATTATAGAGAAGAAAAAAAATTAACTGTAAGGTCCGATTTAGTCATGATTTGGGCTAAAATTGGATCAATCCGAACCATAAACACCTAGTCTCTCTATAGTCATTAGCATTTATAAAATTTCAATCAAGTCCTTTTTTAGACAGAGAAAGCCACCGCAGTACAAGAGAGAGGAGAGAGAGGAGAGAGAGAGAGAGAGAGAGACTGGCGCTGTCTGCTTACATCAAACCGAGCCAAGGCCTTCCCTTTATCTTTCAAATTATTTTCGATTTGTTTGCGTTATCTGTTAGCTGAAGGAAGCTGATGATTTGTGATTTTGGAGCGTAATTTTAATGGGGCAAGCAGCTGCGGGGATAAACGGTGATGATTACGGGAAAATTGCTGTTCTTTTTATAGGGATTTGATGCTGTTTGGGAACGACGGTGATTTTCTGGTAAGTTTCGAGTTATGCGTTTGGGTTTTGGATAATCTGTGCTTCGTTCGTTTCGGCTATGGCCTTACATTTGTTGATTTGTATCATTCAGTTATATTTGACAGTTTCAGTACATGTAAAGGGAGAACATAATTGAAGGAAATATGGAACAATATCAGTAATGTTTCTGTAAATTTTCTTTTGACCATGATGGGGGAAAAAAAATCTGTGCCATTTGCTTATCTTGAACTTTTTCTGGGGTCTGGTATCATAGTGAGAAAAAAAATTAGCTATGTGTGCTTGTGTGTAGTTTTGATCTAAAATAATTCTTGCTTTGATCTTAGTTGACTTGTGTGTTAGTAAGTGAATTGGTGCATTTTCCGCTTATTAGTATTCCTTTGTTGGATTTGGGTTGTATCATTCGTTTGCGGTTCTTCTTTATTCGATGGATCTGTATTAATGACTATTACGATGCAGCGATTGACAAACTAATGAGTCGGATGTCCAGAATATACTTTGGTGAAGATAGCCTTTGTTGGACATATAAGTTTGAGCTTGAGAAACTTGAGCTCTTAACTATTTCTTTTCTGTATCCAGGCCAACTTGCAAAAATCTTGAGGAGACGGCTTCATTTTTGTACGGATTTGAATTTCTATCTGCATAATCTCTATTTCCTGCAATTGAGATAGTGGCAAGCAGTATTGTGTGACCTGCTTTCATTATTCGGCAGAAGTGACTTTTGCATCTGTTCACCAGTGGCCATCATCAATCGCCACCTATATTTTGAGCTACAAGCTTATAGTAGATTTTGAGTTGTTTCTCCAATGGCACACCTTGCAGCTGCCTATTTTTCCCCAGAACAATCCCGAGGTCTGAATTTTGTGTCTTCATTGTCACCTGTTAGCTGATTTTTTTAGGTTTTGTTTGGATGCATCTGGTGACTCAATTAGATTCTTTGCTGTGAAGATATCTTCAGGTGGATGCTTTTGTTCCTTCAATCCCAACCCTCCACTAGGGGCATTGCAAAACTAAACTTATTTGGGTTTCCTTTGCATTTTAGTTATGTATGAACATGTCTTTCTTATATCGTTGGATTGTGAGGGACGAATGTGAATAACTTGGCTATCTCTGCCTGTCTAGTAGTATGCTACGGTTATATCAATAACTGTACCTGGAAGTATTTTCTAGAATTAGTTAACATGTCGTATTGGCTGTTTCATCTACATTTTCTGTTCATAGAGAAAATAAGGTCAGAATAATTTAGCACGGATATGGTTCTTGCACTTCACAGGAGATATATAATTTGGTATAGAGACTTTGTAGATTTTCTCCAGGTTCTAGATTGAAAATTTCTTCATTTCCTTCACATAATGTTGAATGATGTCTTAATCTAGCTACATGGTTTTCCTAAGTGTGTATATACATATACTTTTATTTATTCCTTATGTGTGACTTTTGTATCTATTGTCAACCCCCTTACTTATTTGGTGCCTGGTTTATATTACAGGGGCTTCAAATGAATCTCTGTTTAAAGAACTTTGGCATTCCTGTGCTGGTCCCCTTGTCAGTCTTCCTCGTGAAGGAGAACGAGTTTACTATTTTCTGCAAGGTCACATGGAACAGGTTTGGTGGTTTTTTCGGTTCTTGTAACAACTTACACACACAAATAGAACCTCTCTCATACACACAGTCATCATTATCGGAAAACACAAAAATCTAGAAACTGTTTCAGTGTTGAGTTTTTGCAATTCCAGTTGCTTATATATATTTTGTCGTGGTATCATCTAGCTCGAAGCATCAATCAATCAAGGATTTGATCAACATCTCCCTTCATTCAACTTACCCAGCAAAATTCTTTGCAAGGTGGTGCACGTTCAGTTAAGGGTAAGGCTCGTTGACTTTGAGCAAGCGGACTTTCTTTTTTCCTGTGCAGCTTGCTTGTGCCAGAAATTCAAGCCCTTGTCTCTGCCATGTTTAATATTGGCTTATTCTTTTATTGTAGGCTGAAACGGAGACGGACGAGGTGTATGCACAAATAACACTGATTCCTGAACAAGATGTAAATTCAAATTCCAAACTTTAGCTGTTAAAATGTTGCATGATCAATTGATGTGGGCACTCTTACTTTCTTGTTCGTGTTGTTTCTTTCTCCCTGGATACTAAGGCGTAGTTCTTGACTACCACCGCTTAAGATCTGATGTAACTGTAGGCTCTCTATGGTTATTTTCGTAAATCCTATTCGAGATATGATTGATATTCTCCATTTTAGTTGATTCAGGACTAGGTTTAGTAAAGCTTGTTCATGGAAGCAGTGGTAATCTAGTAGAGATTTAAGCTGTAATGCAGTTACATACCTTTCTCTCTTGCGTGGCTATCAGCCTATCAGTATTAGAACCAGAATTTGCAAACTGTGATCAATGAAGTTTTTTTTTTTCGACAGATTTTCTAATCTTAATTATTCGCTTGCGTCATTTACTTCGGGTCCTTGTGTTTCCTTGCAACATATATTTATCAGATTTTTTGCTGTATTTGATGGATCAGCAATCTGAGGTCATGAGTCCAGATCCGCCTCTACCTGAACCTCCAAAATGCACTGCCCATTCATTTTATAAGACTCTTACTGCTTCTGATACAAGCACCCATGGGGGATTCTCGGTTTTACGAAGGCATGCTGATGATTGCTTACCTCCATTGGTACAAATCTTTTGATTATTGAATCCTGTCCCAGCACTTCTATTTTTCTTTTCTTTTATCTATCGGCTAACTTTTTGAGATACCATCCATGTTGCAGGATATGTCTCAGCAACCGCCCTGGCAGGAATTGGTAGCTTCTGATATCCATGGTAACCAGTGGCACTTCCGTCACATCTACCGAGGTAAAAAAAATATTTTGCTCAGTTCTGGATGCTCAGGTGCACACAATTTGATCAAATAGGAGCTGCAGCCTTTTTTCAGATTTTTTAAGTTGCCATTTTAGAAAGTATAAGAATCCATTTTTGTTCCAAAATTTACATTATGGTCTTGAATCAGAATGAAAATAAACCATAATGATATTGGATGCCCTCCTTATCTCCTCCAAGCTCGTTTCCGGTTAACCCATGTTTCATTAGTATCACTTGAAACTCTGTTCTGCAATTCATTATAATTGGACTGGTTATTCCAAAACAGAAACTAGCCATTTGATCTCCTTTTGATTGTCTATTTCTTGAATGCTAGTACTCTGGTTAGAATCGAATTGTGTTGTTCGATCTGTGTGTCTTTTGTACCAACTGGTGTCCTTGTAGCATAATAAAGCTCTTGTTTGTGGTAATAACTTCGATTGTTAATGCTGATGTCTGCTGATGTCATTTTAGGTCAACCAAGGCGACACTTACTGACAACAGGGTGGAGTGTCTTTGTTAGTGCCAAAAAATTGGTTGCAGGAGATACTTTTATCTTCCTAAGGTACAAATGAATGCCGAGTCATGTTTCTGTTTTTTGTATCAAGTCAATTAAATTATATCCTGTTGATGAAACTTTGCAGGGGAGAGAACAGGGAACTTCGAGTTGGAGCGAGACGGCCCATGCGACAGCTCAATAATGTCGCATCTTCTGTGATATCAAGTCACAGTATGCATCTTGGTGTTCTAGCCACTGCTTCCCATGCCCTCTCCACTAGGACTCTCTTTTCGGTTTTTTATAAACCAAGGTTGCTCCTCTTTCATCATTTTTTTCTAATTATATATTCCATCGATGTAGGCAAATGCTCCCTAAAAGAAGAAATTTGCAACTTTCCTTCTATGTTTATTCTGTAAGTTTAAGCTTGGAGTTGAATTCCAGGGCAGATTTTAGAGTGTTTGGCACACACACACAAAAATAATAATAATAATAAAATGATGATGATGATGATCGCAGTACCTAGATCTATGCAGCCTTTGTCTAGTCCTATTTCTGGTAATATGGTTAACTGAGAGAATTTTTTTATTGATATACTTAAATTCCGACTTCTATCTTCCAGGACTAGTCCATCTGAATTTATTGTAAGCGTAAATAAGTATCTTGAAGCTAAAAAACAGAAGCTCGAGGTGGGGAAAAGGTTTAAGATGAGATTTGAGGGTGACGAGGTTCCAGAAAGAAGGTAACACAAAACATTTTTCTGGTTTGTTGACTGCTTGAGAGCATTCACAACTGAACATTTATAAATAATCATCATCATTATTTCTTTGTGCAGGTTCAGTGGGACAATTGTTGGTGTCGAGGATCATTCTTCGTCCAGATGGCCTGATTCTGAATGGAGATCATTGAAGGTAATTAACCGAAGAACTGTAGCTTTAATTTCAGTTTTATGTAGAAATGGACGTTGCTTTTCGGAAAGAAGTCTTTTATTTGTAACTGTAACAGCATCTCACAAATTAAGTTCCTTATAAGGATGAGGAACAACATATTTACTTACGACCCGCTTCATCTGTGCAACCAGGTCCAATGGGATGAACCTTCCTCAATTTTGCGCCCAGATAGAGTATCACCTTGGGAAATAGAACCACTTGTTAATACAAATCCGCAGAATTTACTGACTCAACAAAGAAACAAACGGCCACGTCCACCCACTTTGCCTTCTCCTGTGCAAGAATTAACTGCACCAGGTATAATATCTTTCTGTGATATGTTTATCAATTGTACCTTGCCATATTGTTGGGTATATATTATTTGAGTTCAAATGGGCAAAAAGTCTTCAGGTTTTTTGTGTTATTAGTATTAATCTAAGCCATTCTTTATAGTTCCAATTTACCATTAGTGGTCTAGTTCTGAAGGAAATCGCAACCTCACGGTGAGGTGTTCTGTAATATATTAAAGGGGCTTCTTAATTTGTGTCTATAATTCGGTTTCTTTGTATTAAGGACAATTGGGTTTCTTATTAGGTACATGGAAGCCTCAAGCTGAACCACTCTCTACATTCTCTTATAATGTTTCTTTTCATGAACGAGACCCCTGTCAATCACCTAAACGAGCTCGTGGCCCGGGACCCAGCAGTACGACTCACAGCGAAATTATGCTGGCAGCTTCAGGAAAATCAGTTCACCAATCCAATCAAATAGAAAATGCTGCAGAGTCATCTGCCCCTGTTAGCGGAATAATACAGGCGAACGGCTGCAGGCTGTTTGGTATTGACTTGATTGACCGTTCCGTTGTGGAGAACACAGCAACACCAGCAGTTTTTTCGGCTGCTGCCATCGACGATTCTCATATTTCTCCATTTGATAATGAATTAGAGCAACATTCTGAGCCATCAGACCGCAATCTTCCTTGTGTTCCCTCAGGGAGTTATGATCTCGACAGGTCTTGCCACATGAAATCTTATGAGCCACACAATAGGCCAATTCGGAGCTGCACTAAGGTACTTATGGCTTTTCTCATACGACCTCCTTCAAATTGTCCTAGATGTTAAATGGGGGAAAAAACGAATGCACACACACACACACACACGCTTGCAATATCAGTGACTTTGTGATCATGATATGCACTGGTCACTTATCATGGACTGTTTCTTCCTTAGTAGAAAACGTAGTAAAGCAAATTAAAGTGTATATTGGTAAGTTTTTTATGCCGTCATTAATCTACAATGGTCTAGCGTGTTGGTTTTTATTTGGTGCATTGTTCTCTGGAAATCTGTGTATAAACATTAGGACTGTTCATATAGGTTCATATGCAAGGCACTGCAGTTGGGAGAGCACTCGACCTGACTGTGTTCACATGCTATGATGATCTAACCAAGAAACTGGAAGAAATGTTCGAAATTGAAGGTGAGCTCTCTGGGTCGACCAAGAAATGGACGGTTGTGTACTCAGATGATGAAGATGACATGATGATGGTTGGAGACGATCCATGGCAGTTAAGTTTTGAATTTTTTTTCTCTTGGTATAGTTATACATAATTGTTTTGTGATCCTTTAATGATGCTTCGTTGGTGATAAAACAAAGAAAACTTAAGAAGATCATTATAATTGCATTTCACTCAACATTATCCTCTTAAAGGAGGAGAAATGTGAACAAAAGAACGATTCCTTATTTCATTCTGTCATGTACATCATTTCCAAAGTACAATGAACCATCTGGGGTATGCTTCTAATACAATGATATTGTATTTCTCTTTATTATATTGCAGCGAGTTTTGCTCAATTGTGAAGAAGATTTACATCTACACAACAGAGGCTGCCAAGAGGCTTTCGCCCAAGATTAAACTTCCCCTTGATGAGTTTAAATCTGGGAAGCTCGTACCTACTGTTGCCTTCGTGACTGAAGAACAGTCTTCTACGTTGGGATCCGGCAAATGATACCTTGCTTGTCTTTCAGTCGTAATGTACCTAAAAAGCACTCGAGGGAAAGAATAAAAGGAAAAAGTGGGGAGAGAGAGAGAGATAGAGAGAGAGAGAGAGGTCAACCATGGATTTTGACTGTTCTTTTAGGCGGCAATAAAGATTGGATGGGTGATTCGAGTATGTATGTGGCTGAAGGCTAGTTTATTGGTTTTGTTCTCATATGATCATATTTATGTCAGTATTGAGGATTATAGTTGTTTGGTGAGGATAAAGCTCCCATATTAGTGCGTAACGTTACTCTTTGTATTATTTGTATATAGCCAGCCAGCCCTGGGAATCTGAGGTGTAGTAAATGATTCTGGCACTCTTTAGGCCCATTTTGAATAGATACTTGTATATGTATTTTCTCAAAAGTTTTTCAATGAGATATGGGCGGCCTTCGACGTGGCATTGGACTTGGATTTTGGATCTTGATCTTTGTACTTACAATTGAATTGTGAGTTGGATTGGGGCAGTGTTGAGTATGAGCTTGCTCAACATATATAATTTTTTGAGATAATTACTTCCCTTACCCACACTAACACTTTTATTTAAAATTTACCAATGTTCAACTTTTATTTGCAAAGTTAATTACCCATTTAAGTTAATAATTAGTCTTTATATTTACTTCTCATAACAATCCAACTTTCTCTATCTCTGTTTTCTCTTTCCTTCTTATTCTCTATCTATTCAATATCACAAATGAGAGACATGAACAACAATCCAGATCCTTTGTCGCAGATCCGTCATCTCCATGACTTTAGAAGGGCCGTTGGCCGTCTTCGTCAGCTCTCAACCCCTTCAGTCCAAAGCGGCGTGAGGAGACGATGGGTCGTGACCTGTGGCGTCGGAGGTGGATGGGGAAGGGCGATTGACGGCGAGGGTGGCGGAGGAGGCGGAGTCGTCTACATCGCGATCAGAGAATTCCTTGTCGTCGAGGAAGTTTTCATTGAAGTGGTCAGGGGCGGCATGGTTATTGGCGGAGGCCATCGGAGAATTTTTTGTGTGTAGGTTCTAGTTGAGCGGAGGACCAGACCAGACAGTATATATGTTGTATATATGTAGTATATTTATATTTTTCATTGTTTGTGTAGTTGCAGATATATATACTGTATATTTTTTTTTTGTATATATGTTTTTTATATTTTTCGTATGCACATTATTAGTGTGTGTATAGCTTGGATTTCTCGTATGAAATATTGAATTGAAAATCATAAGGATGGACATGATCCAAGGTAATATACTATTTATTAATTGTGTTGTTTTTGCACGGGCTGCTGAGTTTGGGTGAAAGATTTAAATTGGAACTCAGAAGTACGATCTTAGGTATATGTATTGTATGCTTTTTGTATATATACTGTTTATTGATTGTGTTGTTTTTTTTTAAATGTTTATAAAGTATGGTTGTGGTATATATTCTGTATATATGTAGTATATTTATCCAAAAATAATTATCCGACTGATGGATATGATCAGAAATATAAAAAAAAACGATACCAATCAAATTTCTTTATTTTTTCGCTTTCTAATCTAAGTGAAACATGTTTTTGTTGCTTACCATGTGAGAGAAAATTCTCACGAGAGAAACTAGTTTAGTTGGTGTCAGTTACGGAAATCAAGGAAGAAAAACTGATAATATGATTGTTACTAATTATTTGCTCAAGATATGGAAACATTGCAATTTTTTTCTCTTTCACCGTACATATGCAATTATTTACAACTCACAAACGCAAGAATGTAAATGACCCAGTTAACATTGTCATAATAGATTTGCGAAAAAAATACAACTCTACGGTTGATGGCATATTAATTGCATATACAATAATTCATGGTGAATTAATTATGTTGATGCAGGATATCGGTTTTCAAAATAAACAAACTGTCTCCCCTTAATTTAAGTATCATATGCGTTTTGAAGAGTGAGAAAAATTAAAAAATGCATTTTAAGAGTGAGAATTGTTATGAATCGATAGTCTCGATTTGTTGGTAAATAATTCCGATTACATGACATGCGATTGAAATTATTTACGGTCATTGTGTCCTGGTGAGCTTGGTGGATGACGTCCTCAAAATGAGCTCAAAGATTATTATGTCAAGGTCTATAACCGAACTGAATTCCAACAAAATAATAGATTACTAATTTCGGATCAAGAAATTGATTAATTATATTATCAGTAATTAAATTAATCAACGGGCGTTAGATCTTCATATGGAGAGGTAAATCAAGCAAATATATCTGGAGATGTACTATTTATAATTTGAGGTTAAATTGAAAGTTCAATAATATTTTTTAGTGGAATAAATTATTATTCATGTGTGAATGGTATAGGTAGACCATGACGTCCTCGAAATGAGCTCAAAGATTATTATGTCAAGGTCTATAGCCGAACTGAATTCCAACAAAATAATAGATAATTAAGTGGTACTAATTTTGGATCAAGAAATTGATTAATTATATTATCAGTAATTAAATTAATCAACGGGTGTTAGATCTTCATATGGAGAGGTAAATCAAGCAAATAAATCTGGAGATGTACTATTTATAATTTGAGGTTAAATTGATAGTTCAATAATATTTTTTATTTGAATAAATTATTATTCATGTGTGAATGGTATAGGTAGACCATGACGTCCTCGAAATGAGCTCAAAGATTATTATGTCAAGGTCTATAGCCGAACTGAATTCCAAAAAAATAATAGATAATTTAGTGGTACTAATTTCGGATCAAGAAATTGATTAATTATATTATCAGTAATTAAATTAATCAACGGGTGTTAGATCTTCATATGGAGAGGTAAATCAAGCAAATAAATCAGGAGATGTACTATTTATAATTTGAGGTTAAATTGAAAGTTCAATAGTATTTTTTAGTGAAATAAATTATTATTCATGTGTGAATGGTATAGGTAGACCATGACCTACAATTTGGGTTCACATATGGGGAGTCTTTATTTAACATCTCATTTTGGTATATGTTGTAGTCTATAAATACACCAATTTCCGAGAAGCAATTCATCTAGTTCTTAAATAATTATCGGTTGAAAATTCGAGAGAATTAAAGAAAAAAAATGGAGAGATCGAAACAAGAAAATTGGTCTTATTCGTTCTTCCCCAAGATCAATCGTGTGTGAGTTTTAAGGGAGATCTGATGAGTCGCCCACGAAGTTATGCTCGGAGTAGGTGATCGGTCATACAATAGAAGTTTCAAAGATGCTCCTTCGTCCCGTTCCGTAGACCGAGTAAGTCTGTAGAGTCTGCGAAAAATATTAAAACGTAAGTTCTTAATGCCAACTCTACATCCGTTGCGCTAAGGTTAAACTCTTAGAAATTCATTTATGCACATCGATTGACATCTGTCATAAAACCCAACATTGTCTTCATTGATTGAAGGCACATCTTTAAGCCATAAGAGGGTAACATACTTTTCACATAAACCCTAACCTAACCTCTTCATATTCTATTCCTCTCCGCCTCCGCACCATCATACAGATGGACTTGATGGGATATCCTTCATTCAGATTTGTGTAGCCGGTCCTACCTTTTGGTTCATCTGCCACACTGTGATGCTGACCTTTTCGTCGGGACTCTCCTCGGACTTGAATCTGTTAATTTTGTATTTCTCGCTGTAGTTGTCAACTTTTCCTTGTATATTTATTTGCTTTCGTTTTTGGTTTTTCGTTTGACTTGATGTAGATTCCGTTGTATTCCGGAAGTTTGCGGTGATCTGACTTTAATAACGCGAAGAGATAATAGGCAAGATGAAGAATGGTAATGCCGAAGAAGAGGGCTTAGAATACATGGTGAGACTTGAAAAAGACTCCCATCAATAACGCCAGGAAATCCGTATATATGCATTTTTGTCTTAGGATTTGTTGAACATCATTCCATCCCGCAAGAAAGTGCCCCTTGAACGGGTCCGCCCAACTCGCCGACTGGTTCGTGTCTAGCTCGGGCACATGCCTTGGAGCGATATAGGCTTCCTCCGGAGTTCATTCCTTGGTTCTTTTTTTTCAATACTCCTTCTTGTCCTGCACTCTCTAAATGGGACAGCAAAAAACGCCTTTCCCACCAGCAAAATAACCTTCAGGAGCTCCATTAATCATAATAGAGAAAGAAGGAGTCCCAACACATTACACATGACCTTCTTTCTCGGGAACGAATTGGTAACTTGACTTGATGTAGATCAGACATTGAACTTGTAGTTCTGTGACTTTTCAACCCATTTAAGGATTTTTTTATATACAAGTTGGGGGTTTGGCCTTAAACCCCCACCCTCATGGGGTGTTTGTTAAAAAAAAAAAAAAAACACTTCATATTCCATTTATAGCTTCTCACGAGAGTCTAAATTGTGACTAGGATGAAAGATTAGAAATGGTAAACCTATCACTATCTTACAACTTAATAGGGAGATTCTACGGTCCTGTTACGGAGTCATTCCGTTAGGGTTTGTTACCGTTAGATCAACTATCCACGACAGTTACATAATGATCTAACGGTTACAAATTCCAACAATGGTTCCGTAATGGGATTGTAGTATTTCCCAACTCAATAATGAAGAGATAAAACAATCTAAATTACAAGAAACAAATGAAATAACAATATGAAATTCCTAATTGATTTTATTTTACATAAAGCTTGGGCTTAGTTGAGAGGCAACGGTCCAAAAAATTGAAAAATAAATTGGTATTCCTAACGGATAGAAAACACACACAGAGCTCCACTGAGCAATTTCCAGCACAAAACAGATCCTTTTTTACACACACACACACACACACACACACACACACACACACACACACACAA